GATATTTCTCTGAATTTTTGGATTTTAATTTGCGGTTTAGGATTTACATAAATTTACGATTTAAAAATTTAAAGTCTAAAATAAAGTTTTTATTCGTGACAATTAGCGGCATGTAGACAAATATTAATTTAAATAAATTAAATTAGGTAAAAATTCCCACTCGGTGAGAAATTTTTTCCGTAACTGAATTTACTAAAATTTAAATTTATAGGCATACTGCTATTTTTCACGATTTAAATTATGTTTCTGGGTTTCTTAGAACGTTGTTATACATATTTTTAGACGTTTATTGTTCTGCCTGCTTACTAAAGATAAGGTATACTATTCACGGGTGTTCTGTAGAAAATCAACTAAAAACATATTTTTTTTAGTTTCTAAAATAAAAAACTTGTGCTCTGGTAGTTACTATTAATGTGAATTACGCTAAAATCAGTTTGACATATTTTTGTAACAATCGAATTTGAACGAAATTCTAAGTATCTTATTGAGTTACTCAGAAATTTCAATTAACTGAAAAAATATTAATATTTGTTGTATGAAATTTTTATGTCATTTTAGTTATTCCGTTAATTATAATTAATAATATCATAGGAGAAAATGTTGCGTTGCTCTGAAATTATCGAAAATGTAATTTTACAATGTTGAACTAATAACTGCATTCATATTTAATTTATTACGAATTTGGAAATTTTTAATGATATATCAACCTTGTTTTAGTCGAAAAAACAGGAGCCTGCTAAAAATATTATAACAATTAATTTATTATTACAAAAACTCATTCATGATGCGGGACTTCGCTTTGTTCGTCGCGTAAATACTTACTCGTTAACATAAAATAAGACATTTTATTACGTGTTACATACAATATTTTTTTTTATTTTAACTAGATTATTTATAAATATCTAGGTGACCAATATTACTACTTTCTTATATTGTTAGTTTCGTATGATTAATTTTATTCTTTTATTAAAAAATAGAAAATAATATTCATTTATTCTCAACGTGTTATTGTAGTTTGTTTATATCGCTTGTTATATATTTAGATTTCAAGAAAGTTGGGTATTTTATGCTGATTTAGAATGGAAAATAAGGACTAAAACAACATAATTACTAGGTTGTAAGTTTAATCAAATTCTGTTTTTATAAGTCAACTTGCCCTTCTTTGATATAAAATTCAAATAATAATATATATTACTGACTAGCTGACCCAATTACACTTCGTGGGAATTTGTCAAACCTCAATTACTAAAAGTGAATAACAGTTTTCGTTATCCGAGAGAAATTTTTTCATGCGATATCTGACAAATTTTTTTAATAATTTTTAATAATTTCGATTAAATTTTATTAATTTTTATTAATTTTTATTAATTTTATTAATTTTTATTAATTTTTATTAATTTTTATTAATTTTTATTAATTTTTATTAATTTTTATTAATTTTTATTAATTTTTATTAATTTTTATAAATTTTTATTAAATTTTTATTAAATTTTATTAATTTTTAATAATTTTTATTAATTTTTATTAATTTTTAAAAAATTTTATTAATTTTTATTAATTTTTATTAATTTTTATTAATTTTTAATAATTTTTATTAATTTTTATTAATTTTTATTAATTTTTATTAATTTTTATTAATTTTTATTAATTTTTATTAATTTTTATTAATTTTTATTAATTTTTATTAATTTTTATTAATTTTTATTAATTTTTATTAATTTTTATTAATTTTTATTAATTTTTATTAATTTTTATTAATTTTTATTAATTTTTATTAATTTTTATTAATTTTTATTAATTTTTATTAATTTTTATTAATTTTTATTAATTTTTATTAATTTTTATTAATTTTTAATATTTTTATTAATTTTTATTAATTTTTATTAATTTTTATTAATTTTTATTAATTTTTAATAATTTTTATTAATTTTTATTAATTTTTATTAATTTTTATTAATTTTTATTAATTTTTATTATTTTTTATTAATTTTTATTAATTTTTATTAATTTTTTATTAATTTTTATTAATTTTTATTAATTTTTATTAATTTTTATTAATTTTTATTAATTTTTATTAATTTTTATTAATTTTTATTAATTTTTATTAATTTTTATTAATTTTTATTAATTTTTATTAATTTTTATTAATTTTTATTAATTTTTATTAATTTTTATTAATTTTATTAATTTTTATTAATTTTTATTAATTTTTATTAATTTTTATTAATTTTTATTAATTTTTATTAATTTTTATTAATTTTTATTAATTTTTATTAATTTTTATTAATTTTTATTAATTTTTATTAATTTTTATTAATTTTTATTAATTTTTATTAATTTTTATTAATTTTTATTAATTTTTATTAATTTTTATTAATTTTTATTAATTTTTATTAATTTTTATTAATTTTTATTAATTTTTATTAATTTTTATTAATTTTTATTAATTTTTATTAATTTTTATTAATTTTTATTAATTTTTATTAATTTTTATTAATTTTTATTAATTTTTATTAATTTTTATTAATTTTTATTAATTTTTATTAATTTTTATTAATTTTGATTCATTTTTATTAATTTTTATTAATTTTTATTAATTTTTAATAATTTTTAATAATTTTTATTAATTTTTATTAATTTTTATTAATTTTTAGAGTTCTTGATTATTCATCGGGTGTAGAAAAAATAGCGTATGAAACTCTTAAATAATGGTAATTAATACACTCGCATAAACCATACGAAACTCGCCTTCGGCTCGTTTCGTATCCAGGTTAAATGCTCGTGTATTAATAACCATCATTACATGATCGTTGCATAATATACTATTATCGACATGAATGTTTTTATTACACTAAGCAGTTATGTCATTTTATTAATTGTTTTACAAAATGTTAAAAAAAAAAACATTTATGCTTTCAGTTATATTATATTGTTATTCTAATATAATGTGTATTTTACAGTGCCTGTTAATATGAATGTACACCAAACATTTAATCTGTAGGCACAAAATAATAAAATGTTACATATAAAATAATACAATAAATATTAATATAGCATACTCTCCTGCGCTGCTAATGCGAACAAACAATTTCTGCTTCTCGTAAATCAGAAATACTCGTATACACCTATGCACAATATTGTTTGACAACCATTACCTAAGCACCTCTAAAATACGGCAACAGTGGCTGAGGTGGTTTGTAGCTAGATATCGTTCAGGCAGTGTATATATGTAAGAGGTGACTTCGGTATTAATTTTTCTGTGAATATACATATAAAAAAAATAAGATAAATCACTACCCCTCTTTTGAAATTCTGATTCTAGAGGTTCCCCTTAGGGTATCTAAATATTAAAATTTTAAAAAAAGCGTGCGGAAATAGGTGAGGTGAGGTCGCCATATGCACTACACTGAGGTGACAACTTATGGCCTATACATATATATATATATATATATATATATATATATATATATATATATATATATATATATATATATAGTATATATATATATATGAATATATACGGACAGGGGCATATTTGTATAAATAAAGATATAAGAAAAACCTTTTACAGTTTTGTAGTAGTACTTTATTTAAAAACATCGTGATATGAACACTAATGATATTTAATCCTGACCAATTTCTATTGTTTAGCTATTTCACACCACTACATACTTTTATCTTACCTTAGATTATTTTCCAAGCCTATGAGATAACTTTTTTTATTTCTTTGTTTATTAATCAGAATAGTTAAAAAAGGCTTCTATAGGATAAAAGGTTGGGAGTGTTGCATAAAGTAACAATTAAATTATCTTGATAGGGTTAACACGTTTCAATCTTTACAATGTCAGACTACATTTGCTGCGTTTGTTTATCCATATCGGATGCATCTGAGTTGTTGTGAATCTTCTATCACGTGATTCAAGATACGTAAATGTAGTTGGAGCAGATGCATCCGATGTGGATAAACAGACGTTCGAGAGGAAAAAAATTGGGATGTGGATATTCAAACGTAGCAATTTTGTTTTACATTGTATATTTTCTTCTTCTTTTTTGGGCTGTTATTTAAAACAATTTTAAAAGTTTTTGATTTTTTGATGGTAGGTAGTTTATTTTTGTTAGGAAACTTTCTATGTGACGTGCCGTCATTTTTTTTTGCAATTAATTGCAGATTTGCGAATAATGTTGAAGCACACTTTGTTTATGGAGTACAATAAAATTCAAGAAAATCCCATTACTATTATAGATATTACTGTACATATACTGGTTCAAAAACTATAGGCATGTCTGCTCATATTTCAAGTATTTTGTGGTACCTGGAATACGCACGATTCGAAAATTATATTAAGTATCCTTCAAGTGTTTTATTAAGGACTATTTTAAATGCTACTAAAAGATGACTCAGATTTTGAAGGTGTGTAAATAGTAGTTAATGTATGTAATAAAACAGGTTCTTTCATATTGATTTATAATTTAGTGCAAAGTCTAACAATCTATGTAAATATTATTTATGTCTTGCTGCCACACCCTGTATTATTAATTACTATTACCTAGTATTTAACATAACAAATACGTTATCAGTATTAATGTTCTAATTATGATTAGACATAAAAATGCACCTTATTTCAGTAATTCATTTTTCTATTTTTTTGAACACTCTGTATGACTTATTTTACAAAGTGAAGGTAAGCGGTAACAAACTATATACAAGTGTAATCCCATGCCATAAGTTTCATGAAAAATACATCAATTACTTAATAGTTGTAGAGATATAAATGAAAATATTAATTATACACTTCTTAGTTTTGACTCCTTGTAACAGTTAACACTGCAGAGTTGCAAACGTAAGGTCTATTAGAAAGTTTCCCATTACGACCTGAAAAGTAACATACTAAAATTTGAACGAATTCTGACAGTACCCAAAATCAATGTAAAAAGTGCGGGGTCCTTTACATTTTTTAATATATATTTTACTTATTTCTTCCAAAAATAAAAGCAATGAGTCATAATTTTTCCAAAGTTTCAACAAAACTTACTCTTATGTACCATTTTGTAGGACAAAAAGGTCTTAATCCCACATTAGTATCAGATTCTGCTTGAAACCCTTTAAATACTGCTACCCTTTTAGGTGAGTCTTTTACAAATTTAATTATGTCCTTAAATACAATTAAAGCATCTCTGATATCAGGAACAATACTCATAGATTCCTGAATTGCTAAATTTAGAGAATGTGCGAAGCAGTGAATATGAACAGCTTTTGGTTCACTTTGTCTTACACGAGCTTGAAGCCCGTTGAGTACACCGCTAACATTGGACGCACCATCTGTGCAAAAACCACAACAGTATGAAAATGAAAACTGGAAACGGACCAAAAAATCTGTAAGTACCTTATGAAGTAGTGGAAGTAACAGCATAGAATCCAAAAAAATATTCATTAATTGACAGGTTATCATCCACAGTTCTCAAGCAAAATGAAACTTGTTCTTGAGAATTGATATCACATATTTCATCAATTAGCAAACTAAAGAATTTATTTTTAATTGTATCAAAACTTGATGAAAAATAATTGACACAATTTATTTTATAATATCATGGGAAATCCAGCGGTATCCTGTTCTTTGGAGCCAGGTTTTTAATTCAATAATATCATCACTTCGTAATTCAAGAAGTCTTATGAAATTGGATTTATCCTCTGTGTGTCCTCAAATTGCGAGTCCACCAATTATCAAATACCTTAGACTAGGAAATATTGCTAATAGAGCTGTTCGAGCATTTTCCATATCACTAAGTTTGGCTATTGATATACTTGTAAGAAAATTTACTTTTTTTTGGAGTTTATGTAGGCTTGTACGTAAAATTTGTGAACACTAGACATTTCATGGGTGTGAAATCTTGTCAATGGTTTTCCCGTTTTTCAAACCTTTAATAATAAATGCATTTATAGAATGTTGTTCTCCTGATGATGGGCTGGGATAATTAATATTTTTAGCCCTCCTCATAGTACGGCATATTTTACAAAACCCTCTCTCTTCTGTTTCTACATAATCCAACCATTCGTATTTTTTAAGCCATGATAATTGTAAAGTACGATTGTGTTGGTATTGATCTGCAGAAACAAACGTCAACAATGAGGTTTCTTCACTTTCTTTTGAAGTAGAAATCGATGGAGTAGAGTCTATATTCGTTGTAGAACTACTAGTAGAAGGTACTGACTCGGGTACGGAACGTGTGGGCTTCTCACTTTTTTTAAAAAATCCATTAGAGATGCCTACCTTTTTTCCATATTCTATAAAGAAAACCAACCCTATTTACGATCGAGTAAAAAAAATAAAAATATTTTTTATCAAATAAATTTAATACAAAAATCTAATGTGTCGAACACATGAGTTTCCTGTCATACCTAAAGCCTTTTTGCACTTTTCCTAAAATTGTAGGGAAATCATGTATAAAAACATTTAAAAAGAATGACATCACAGACAATTTTTATTTGAACAATTTTCCACTTCTTGTCAAATTTCTCGAATAAAGGCCATTTTAGAAAAATTATATATAACACAAAATGTCACTCTATTATGTACCCCCCTTCTTAGATGTTTAAAGCTTAAATTTCAAATTTAGTATTTTTGTCTATATCCTTTCATGACTTATCGAGTATACAGATATCATCGCGAAAATGGTCAAAACGGATTTAGGGGACCTCAAAACGTTATAACTCGAGGTAAAACATTATGATTCCTATACTGCACTGCATACAGACACAAAAATAAAAATGATAACTTTTAGCACCTCTGCTCAAATAGGCAAAACATTACCGTTTGTTTACTGCCCCCTAGGTTTAATAAATAAGTTTCATAGTTAAGAGTGTTATCCATGTGCTAAAATTGACTTAAAAGTAATTCCAAGATTCCAGACCTATTTTTTTTATGAAATTTGGCATGCATATTAATGGAGTCGTGCATAATGGGGCTACGGAGTCCAAATTTTGATATATATAAAAATAGTATATTGTTTCACGAGTGACGAAAAAAATGATTTTCGACGAGTAAAACACTATACTTTTTCTACGAACTCTATTATGTCATGTAGGTACCTACTAAAATGAAAAAAAAAAAAGAAAACAAACGTTAGCAAATGCTTTATTTTGTGTTAGGAATAACAAAAAATTAACCAACAATTAAATATTTCAGAAATATTATTTATTATTTAAATATTGATTTATTTTTATAAATGAACAATTGTTCAAAATTATGGGGGTATCACACTCAAGCTTTTTATTTATTGAGGTAGACGCCGACATATTTGTTCTACTGTTAAATGTCATTTCAGATGATGATGATGCGCCATAATCGGATGAACTAGTAGTTTCCTTATTTTGTACAGATTGTAAAATTTTGGTTTGTATTTGGTTTTACTGTTCGTGGATTCATCAACATATCCTTCCGCAACACTACTAGATTTCCAACCACCGTGCTTTTTTAACAGAAGCAAGTCACCTCCTGCATCCACTAATAGCGTTGCGGATGTTCTGCGGAAACAGTGCCCAGTGTAATCTTGAGGATTCGGAAGCGTTAAAAACTGAGCAATTTCGTTAGGAAATTTACTAATTTTATTAATTCCAACAACCTGTCTGCTACACTTTCCATTCTGATAGTTAATAAAGAATCTTGAATTAATTTGATCCATGTTTGCGGGACGTAGGCTCATATATTTTTTAGAAATATCATAAAAGGGTCCAGAAATATGAAAAGAACGCGGAACTTTTGTTTTTGTATTACGGATTTTAACTAACAGAATACTTCCAGTATCCTTTACATCGCTTATTGTTAAATCTTTTAATTCGTGGCAACGACAAGCGCCAGATAATCCAAAAACTAATGCTACCTACAAATATTAGTAGTTATGTATTAAGTATTTGTTAAAATAAAAATAATAATTCCGTTACCTTTGTTATTAAATATTTATAGTCAGGTACATTTTTTAGGAAAGTCTTTATGTCTTCAGGCGAAAAAATTTTGGATTTTTAGCTTTTAAAACCATCAGATTTTCTTTTCAAAAGCGAACGTAACTTTGGATATTTACTAATATCGACATCATTTTTAACAGAGTGTAGTTCTTAGCATCGAATAAATGGACCATAACGTCGACGGTTTAAAATTTGAACATATTTCTCCAAAGTATGCTAGTAGTACAGTTTCCGAAAATGATTTCACTTTATTTTTTTCTCTCCAGTCCAAAAATTTGATATAAATTTCTTCATATCTCTTTTTTGATTTGGCCGGTAATAAATCTGAAGAGGTTTCTTTAGCTTTAAAAATAATTTCTGGGGGAGTACAATCGCTTTCTGACTCAGACATCATGAAAATGTGTTAAATTTAGGACGAACTGAAACTGACAGTTCTCAAAAGTGATAAAACTTCAAATAAACAAATGAAAACCAGGAAACTAGATGTAGATTGGTTTAATTTGCACTATTTTTATACATTTTTATTTTATCTTTAATTCATTAAAGTTGAGGTAAAAACGCATATAGAATTTAATGAGCATCTTTTTATTTCATTAATAATAATTATAAGCTGCCAAAATATTATACGAGGCGACGGATATATGAAAATATGTAACAACTTACTTTCGTCACTAGAGACGAAAGTAAACGTTATGGGATTTTTTCTCACTAGTGACGGAAATCAAGTTTTCGCTGAAAGTATCCTGTGGCGAAAGATGTCTTTTTGTAAGAGTTCGTAGAAAAAAGCATTTTTGATATATCAACAAAGCAAAATGTAAAAAAAACGAGTCTGTAGCCGTATTTTAATTTAAAAATATAATGTTTATTTCAACTATTTTTGTTTCTACAAAGCCTATTTTTTTGTAAACCTAGAAATACTAAAAATCGAAAAATGTATTTAGATTTACCCGAGATAATAACTACTTAGCAACGTCGCACTGATATTGACCATGTCTCAAGGATCGGCTTGCCGTTTAACCTCTAACCAGACAGGTTAAATTTTCGTAACGCTGCTGCAGATTTGGCGTTTCTGAGACGCTTACTTGCATATTATGTAAAAACTAATAAAATTATTTTTTTTTTAGTTCTTTATTATAAACGGTTTTATTTATCAGTTGACCTTAATAATTATATAAAGATATTTATTAAATTGAAACATAATTTTATAAAATAATTTATTAAAAATTTCTACAAAAAAGGTATCTATAGGAAAACAAAAAACATAAACCTATATCAGTCTAAAAAATATTTTGGCAAAAGGCAAAATAATCACAAGGGTGATAAACTGTTGATCAAGCGTGTAAAAACTAGTTTAATCGCGTTAAAATTGCGAATTATGCCCCGATCGACCGGTGAAGGGGAAATACTGAATATGTCTCACAACCACATTAATTTTACATTTCTGTTTAGTTCATAGATAAATAGATAGTATTTTCATTTACAAAAGAGTGACAGAGTTTAAAAAAATTGTATTATCGTTGTTGATGATAGTGTGTTTAATAATATAATAGTGGAAATGGAAAATATGGTTTTCCTTTAAAACGAATATCTATAAAAAATCGTACAAGACTTCTTAGATTTAAAAGCTACTGTCATCCGATAATTTAAAGGTGTATCTTTACTGTGGAATTTTTATTTTATGTAAAAGCAATACATAATTTTTTGAACTGACAGTTTTTAGAACCAAAATGTTAAAGACAAAACTATTGAATTATCTATGAACCATGCACATCACTTAATAATTATGAATCAGTTACCATAGCACTCATTAAATCATGATAATATAATGATCAGTTGTGCAGCTATCACGACATGTGATAGTAAAAAATGCTAAATTATGTTATGGAAAAAAATCATGCAAGTCGGTTGATAAAATTTTTCTTTATTGTTAAAAGACAGTTTTGATTTTATTCAGAGGCTTGTAGTTTTCACGATATAACTCGTATATCTGACTGAAGGTAAAAAAAATGTCGTACCAGATAAAGATTACGGTCTCAAAGACTAGTCTGCCTAATAATAACAGGGGCATTTAGAACTACGCCCACAGCAGCAATGGAGCTACTGCTAGGTCTTCCTCCACTACACCTTGTGGTGGAGAAGGAGGCTATAGCGGCGGCATACAGGCTGTTTACTAATGGATTTGGATGGGAACTTTCGAGAAAAGGACACCACACAATGATATTAGAGAAATTAAAACAAAATCCGGTACTAAGAATGCCATCGGATAGAACGCCCATTATTCACGACTTCAGGAAACCTTTTGATATTCAAATACCAGAAAGGGCCAAAAGCCGGGAAAAAAGGGAAAAACAAAACGAATCAATCTGGTATACAGACGGTTCGAAAATGAAAAACAGCACAGGAGCTGAGATCTACCATGTGAACTCAAGGAGGACAATTAGTTTGAACCTGGGGTCACTGAAAACAGTCTTCCAGGCTGAAGTAACAGCA